ATATCGTTCCTTTTTTTTTGTTTTTAAATGAAAATTGACATTCTCATTTGATAATATGACTCCAGGAGCCAAGACTTTAAGAAAAATTCCAAATACCACAATCCCTATGGGAATTTGCAACCTTATTATTAATAATGGGCGCCTCTCATTTCTCTTCAAGTCTCCTGAAATTTGGATGTTTCGTCTAAATCCACCCAGATTCTTGTGATCTTTAAAGGTGGGGACACAGTAGAAAAGTACTTCCTCAGGAGAAGAACTGATTACAAAACATGGATCCAGTTTCCATTTTGAACCTCTTCAAGTCTAAGGTTTGGTTGCCTGCAATCTTGTTTTTTCCCCACTCCTTTTTGCTTTTCTGGTAGAATGAAAAATTTGATTTAAGGTTATATGCCTGGAAAAATAAAGCATTTAATTTACATTTTACAAGGCAGTTATTGCAGGTTAATTAAATATCAATTGAGTGTTATAGGCCATGTTAAGATTTATTAATAACCCAGCAGATAAATCTCCTTGGAATTCAATTAAATGAAAATCACATAAAAATATATGTGCAATTTTATTCATATAATACATAAAACTTGTGAATTATAGTGCAGCATTGTACAGTAAGTTGATTAATGAGAATTAATTGCTGAAATAGAGAAAAATCAATTTAAACTTCCTGTAGCAGACAGAAGAAGCATGGTATGCTTCTCCCATCCCCTTGGAGGGCTGATGTTGTGTCTACACTTACACCGTCGCACTCCGGACCATCTTGGATGTAAATGTGCTTCCTCTCCTTTCACTTGCTCAGTGGTTTAGGCTTAGAGAAAGAAGCAACTCTTTATTGCCAGTACGCCCCTGTTGAGTTAATGGTATGACTGAAGATTTTAAAGGGTGAAAGAAGCAGCAGCCCAATACGCTGGTAGATATCCCCGACCCTGAAAGTGCACATGGGTTCATGTCTTGTGTCAACAGGCGAGATCTCTGTCTGTAAGGGAAAGGCTCACGAGCGTACTGAGAGGTTTGGGAGCGCTTATACCCACAAGTGTCAGAGACTTTTGCCCTTGATGCTTTTTTCAGATCTCTCCTGAAACATTTGTAAGACAGTCAGCAATAGAAATGCTGCTAGCCAGGTTGTCTGCAAACTCAGGAGACAGGGGCGTGTTGGGCTTTTACCAGGATTAGTGAGCGGATCTGGGCCCATTTGGGGAAGTAAAGCTTCCGACATCGGAGATGAGGTTCAGGAGCTGGACTTGGAAAATATCTTTCCAATATTTGCAGAACGATTGAGGCCTGGCGTGCTGCCATCTGTTCCCCGCGCATCCTGTGTTAAATACTGTCAATATGAGATTATGTTCCAATTACAGTACCAGACAGACTGGTTTAACTCCTACCATGAATCTATTTTCCTTTATTACTATGTACTAACTATGTGACTGATGTACCAGACACCAAAAGAGATGGTCTCTGCCCAGAGGGCCTTGTCTAAAAGAAACATGCCGGGAGAAGACAGAACGCAACAGAAAATGCAGATGAATGAGTAACTCGCTTGAGATTTTCTTTTTAATTTGGGGATTCTTTGTTTGTTTGTGTGTTTGGCTTGAGTTTTAATATTGCTAAACTTGCTTCCTTCAGACATTGCACAAGAACAGAGACTTCCATAGAAACTCAAACAGGGTTAGGCATGCGGCTCTTTGAAGTGTGTCTGTGTGTTTGGGGGGGTGAATGCTCAGCGCATACATGGGAACATTGGAGGATGGAAAACAAAGGGACAACCACGTTCCACCTCAGATGATAACTCCAGCAGATGCCACGGCTCGTGGTGGGGAAGTTTCGCTTTGCTTAAAATGTAGCAGGTGTCTTTCTGTCAGTGTGCTCCTTGCTCATCCTCCCTGCTCCTCCGCGCATCTGTCTCCTCTGTGCTTCATCTCTGCTTCTCCCTGCAATAGTTGTCAGGGATATTAGCATTAAATACTTACTGCCTGGCTTAACTAAGGGGTAAGATAGGATTTAATTTGTATGGCTGAAATCCAATTATATAATGGAGCCCCTGGGGGAAGCAGTTATACCTGCTGAATCTCTTGGATGAGTAATTGTGCACAAAGGCTCCTCTCCAGAAGTAGAAACAGACCCGAAATATTTTTTTTTCCTCTTTTTTTGCTGCTGCTGCTGTTACATAATAGGGCTGAGACCCTGAAAAGAAAAGCCAATGACAACCCAGTGCAGTAGAAAGAATTAAAGCATTGCCAGGAGAAAACAAGTTACAATCTGATACAATCAAGAATCTAACAGGAAGTCTGCAGCAGCGTTAGCTTGGAGGAGCCAAACTGCAGGGCAGCCAAAGGAAGCTTACTCATCTTTTTGGAAAACAGCACTGAGGCTTTGCTGTCTAACTTTTCCCCCCACTTTTTCCATGAGCAGGGAAAGGGAATCCTCTACTTGCTTTTGTCAAAGCTGGGGAGGTGGATAGGTATAAAAAAAGCTAAGGAGCCAACTAACTCAGATCCTTTTGAAAAATCCTGCACTTAACTACCTTTAAAAATCCCTGTTCTTTATCCTGCATGTCATCTGCATCCTGATAAGCATCGAAATTGTAGGTGATGATGAGCAGGACAGGAACAAGCACAATGAGGTTCCCAGCAAGGTTTCTGAAAGCAGGCAGGCTTGTAAAGCATTGAACCTTGGGGACAGCATCGGGCCTTGACAACTGTCCCACCTGCTGCCTTCAGCAGCTCCAAATTCCACAAAGGAATATACGCAGGGCTCTGAATGGGACTGAAAGCATCAGCTCTTAGGCAAGTTTTCTCGAAGGTCAGAGTACCGTATTTAATTCTATTTTTTTTAAATAGAAAGAAAACTTTTATTCTTTTCTAATGAGTTCTGAGCGGAAAAATAATTTCCTCAGTCTCTTTGATTACGTGACTACGTGAAGATAAACGATGACTGCATCCAGCCAGCTGAGGGAAGTCCGAAACTCCAAATGCCACAGATTGAGGACAAACCCGGTGGGTCAGACCCCCCCACCCATCAGGCTCCCTGTCTGGGCAAGTCTTTCAATTCTCTGCAAAAATAGCTAAAGCAAAAGCAGTTGCAACACTTGAACTGGCCAGGGGAAGGTACCTGTCTCACAGCCTTGCAGCTCCACCCAGTGGCTCTTTTTTGGCAAGATAAAACCAAGGTTTCGAAGCATTAAAACCTGTTGAGGTCAACGTTGTTGTACGTGGGGATGCTCTGGCACTGTGCATGAGAAATGGCCTGTGTAGCTTTTTGTCAAATCCTTAGCAAGCTGTCATCTACCATTAGAATAATGGAAAAAAAAAATGCAAAGAGAATTTTAGTAGAAAACCCAGCAATCTTACTACTCCCTTTCTTAAAAACCTCCCAGCACAAATTGTAGGAGAAAAAAAAAAGTAAGGAAGTGATAACTTACACGCTTCACTTTCCCAAATTTTCTGTGAGCAGATTGCAAGAGTTTCCCCCAAATTTATTTGTTACATGAAATTATTAATGAATTACTAGAGAAAATGATTTTTGATTCATAAGTTCATTTTGCAAAGAATTCTGTTGTGAGTGTGAATTTCGGTGAAGTTAACGTGGCACCTCACGCTGTATTGCTTCGCTTTCCTTCCCGTGTAATTACTGTGACTAACAAGAACCGAATTTTGATCATTTCTATCAAGGATGTCATGCTGAAACTTGCTTCTTCCAGGAGAATTAGGGCACTTGTAATTAAAATAAGCTTTTGTTTGTGCATGTGTACGCTTTTACTGTAGGAAAGCTCGCGAGATGGGTACGTATTCACAGAACACAGAATTGTAATACCAACAGAATTAATTTTAAATTTGAAGCAGTATTGTAAAAATATTCCATTACTCCAAGCTCAAGTGAAAACTGAAATCTCTCTTGTGCTGAATGTAGGTTTACCAGTCTCTGTCTTAAAAATAGAGGAGCGATAAAGTGATACAAACCACAGTTTTTGTTGTGAATCTTCTGGAAGAGCCTGCCCCACCTGTGTTAGGAAAATGTCACCTGTGAAATACTGCTTGTGGACGGACTGCGTAGCTCCAGCACCATGGAATGAGTTAAAATGACCTCCTGAAGTTCAGACGTTGTTTAGCATAAACGCAGCCCCTAAGACCTTCACTGAAGTTGCTGTCTGCCAATGCGGCAGCTGAACGAGGGCTTTAATTTGCTTTGCTTTGCTGTCAGAGTGCTGTGAGACAAGAGAATTTGAGTTACAAACTATATGAATCCCACCTCTATGCTTGTAGACATCAGTTGTCCATCCATCCCATTAGCAAATAAGTCAGCCTGTACATGGTTAGCACAGGAGATTGGAAGTTTCTTTCTACAGGGATAATATTTCAAATAGATATAATATTCCACATTAAGAATAACAGGAAGCATCTTGAAAAAGGTAGCTCTAGAAAAGGGAATTAAGTATTCTTTTTATTAAACCCCAAAACAGAGCAAGAACTCGCTGGGCTTTCCTTGTCTTCACCAAAATTATCACTGAAGATCCCTTGAGCATATGAGACGGGCACGGCCATCCCACCAGCTGCCCAAGACCATTTGCTGAGTATGGAAAGAGATGGAGGCTTGTCAGGCTGTGGAACAAAACCGGTTAACTAATTTTATCAAAAAGGTGTTTGCAGTGCACCATCTCTCATCTGAACCTGTCTCTTGTTCCCGCGAGTGATCCCCATGTGCTGGTGGCACCATGGGAACGAGTGAGGCCAGCGAGCCCTGCATCTATCTGCACGGACCTGCAAGGGCACCCTGGTGTTTCACATGAAATAGCTTAACTTAAAATAACTTAAATGACTTAAAATAGCTGAGCTGTGGCATGGCAAGGGTCTGTACTTGCAGCCCGAGAGTTTTGCTCTTTCTCTGTACCAGGATTTCTCGGTGTTTGCAAAATTTCTGCCAAAGATCTGTGCATGTTGTGATGTTTGGATGAAACTTGCTGGTGTGATAAGCTCTCACCCAACCCCAAACATGCTGCTTAGTTCTTTTCATCAAACTGGGGGGGGTTCCAGGTTGGTTTCCAGGTTCCCTGCAGCTGCTTTCAACCACTGTGCAGTTCTGTGCTTGCTCTCTTTCCAGGTAAAGAGGGGTTTGTACCCAAAATGCCTGGAGGCTTTGTCTGTCTCATAGGAGAAGGTGGTGATTATCGTGTGCAGGTAAAGGCAAGCTTAGGAAAGGCTGTGGCTTCCAGAAAGGGTACAAGATGACCTTGATTATCCTGTGCAATTGTATCACTGACCACATCTTCCAGTAAGAGATGTGTGAGCCTGGTCTTACTGAGGGGTCCATAGAGGACAGCAGCTGATGCCTGATCAGAAAACCTTTTCTTGTTGGAGTGTCATAGGAATAATACACTTGTCCGGCAAGTAAGTCTGGTTTCAGGTGCAACTTCCTTGCTGCAAGAACATGCATCCATGCAACGTTCCCTGGAGAAATAAGAGGGGGAGAAAACGGGTATTCAGGAGGAGCCACATTTTCCTGTTTGCTGTAGGAGTGAAGGAGTGCATTGGATCTGCCAGCTTCAGTGCTGTGAGGTAGGAAAAGCTCTCATCGTGTGCTGTAGAGACAGAGTAGTTAATCCAGACCTCCAAGATCCTTTAAACCTTTGGTCTCCCCTTTGAGCTGGACAATTAATGTGCCTTGTGATACTGGTTCATGGGAAGCGAAAGGGCAGTGTTTTGTAGCGAGAGCAGGATGAATGGGAGGCAGTGCTTGAGGGTTTTATTCCTGGCTCTGCTGTGAGCCTTTGAAGAAGTCACTTGATTTATCTAGGCCTGATTCTTCTCGAACAGCATTTTCAAACTACTGTTATCTGCACTTTTGGAAAAAGACATATAAGTGTGCTGCACAGAAATAACTAAACCCCTGCATGATTTAATGGTGAGTTATACTCTCCTGAAATGCATTCAACAACACAACAAACTCTTTCTATGGGTTTTGTGAGTAGTTTCTTGTGCTTGCTAAAATCAGTTAGATAGTACAGCCTTTTTTGCAAGGAATTTTACCAGTAGTGTTAGTTTAATTTCTTCTAATGAAGAAGAAATTGTCTCTTCAAACCAAAAACATTTTTAAAATATTGCCTGAATTTCTCTCTCTCCCCAACCCCTTGAAACATTTACACAGAAAAAGAAGGATGAGATCTCTCTCCTTTTTTCTGCTGACTTTTTTTTTTCAGCTTTCTGAACAGTATTTCCCCTATGTTGAGGGGAAGAAAAACAAGAAAAACCTTCCCAGGAAAAACAGTAAAATGTAAACAACTGCTTTAAAAATTCTTTTAGACAGTCTAAGTTTTGTGGTTATAAAAATATTTGTGCTCATTCACCATACTCATCTTTCTGTCTTGGAAGATTATGGTTAAGCTGGTGTGTGACTAGAAGAGCCTGGTAGCACACATGCGAAGAGATCGATCGTTCACTCACCCACGTACGTGTAATTACACTCTGTGTTTTCAGGCTCCAGGTAGTTCAACAGACCGTTCCTGGCTTTGGCAAGCAAATACAATTCTTGAAGAAATGTTGCCTTCTCCCCATACACTGTGTTTGCATGGATGATGCAGTTTGTGAGTTTACCACTGCTGCTCAGCTGTAAAATCAGGGAGGGATGTTAGCTAGTGATGGATTCAGAGATGAAATCTTCCGCAGTGATGTTGAGTTTGCCAGATAAAACCAAAACCTGGGAATGTTGGGCTCGAGGAGTCGGCCTTTGCAGAGGTGATCTGGACAGCTAGGGCCTGGTTTGGGTCCCTAAAAATGCAAGGAGGTGCCCAGTTTGATTTTTTTTTTTTTTTTTTTTTTTCATAGCACACCTTGCACCTATGTGATGCTCACTGAGAGATTTGGATGGAGGGTGCTAGTGGTGTTAACCCCTTTCTACAGTTGTGACGTGGAAATGGGTGTTTGCAACAACCAAAATCAGGTACCGGAGGAAGCCAGCTAAGCTGGCTGCCCTCAAACTGTAACGGAGAGAGAGATGCTCCAGGCAGTGATTTAGGAAAGAAGTCTGATTTTTACATTCTGCTTCATCCTCTAGGAGAGCTCATCTGTCTGCTGACTGTGCTGGGAGCCTAAAAAGATTAGCCAGCTAACTTTGGTAGGTGGCTTAATCTGGGTACACTAATATTTTTTAATTCTTAACTCTCCCAGGCACATCTGAAAATTACACCTTTATGCAGTATGAATCAGGTTTCTTATGCCCTAATTTAACATAGCTGTTCCTGAAGTCACACTCCTCCCGGTGCAGTTAAAGCACGGGCTCCAAGGGTAGCACCCTTTGATCGTGCGAGAGTTTGCCAGCTTCGTGATCATGTGGGAAGATCAGGCTTTGGTAAGCTTAGGGCAATGGGGATTGTGCGTCAAGGCAAGGCAGCAGCTGAATATACATGAAGATAGGAGTTGCGGGGTCTTTTTATCCAGCTCTCTCCTTCCACTCACCCTGTGCTCTAATACCAGGGATGCTACCATTGACTTTTGTATCTTTTTTCCATTGGCTTCAAGTACAAGTTTTTCTGCCATGGCCTCTGTCTTCCCATAAGGCAGCTCCACTTCCCCACTGTATCTGATGTCCTCATCTCCTCTGAAACAGGTTGTGGGAGACGATGAGTGACCACAGAGTGGAGCACAGGGCTCGGAGATCTTTGTCACAGCATGATTTACTCTGCAATCCTTGCTCTCCGGGGACTTACCACTGGCTGTGAGTTATATGAAGCAGAGATCCTTGCTGCAGTTTGGGAGAAATGAGGCCTCAAGGAATACCAGGTGATTCTGGGTGTTCGTAGGCAGGTTTGCATGAGGGCAGTGATTAGATTTCTGAGAGCTGGATTTGGTTTTGTCTAATAGGGTGATTGAAGTAAACAATATTCTGGCAGGCAAATTAGAGGGCAGTGGAGTTACCTTTGTAAGCAACTCACAAGTGGCCGAACAAGGTGGAAAGAGCATAAGAAGACGGAGTGCAGGAAAATGAGAGCAATCCTGCTTCATTTTTTCATTAGAGGTAGAGAAAAGCCTCTCATGAGCCATAAACTAAAAGTAGAAGCTGCTGCTTAATTTTCTCACGGAGTTGATTAGGGTTGGGAGACATTTGCTGGTGACATGATATTGCTGCTGGTGAAGTTGTGTAAACAGCAGGTTTGTGCTGGGATGAGTCCTTCCTCTTCCCTAGAAAATTACGCTGGAGGGGAAGATCAAAGAAGCGGACCCATGATTAAGAGCAAGCAAGGGGTCGCAGCCATACTGGGGACATTTGGTTGCCACTGTGGAAGGCAACCTGCTCCTCAACCTCCTAACTTACACCTGCAAGGAGAAAAGCCCATGGGATCTAACATGTAACTACCTTCTCAAGCCCTGAAATAATTCCAAGGAGAACCAAGAAAGCAGCTCTGTTCCCCACCTGGGTGCTGGCATTTTGTCCCAGTGGTTCTAGTTCAACATTAATCCATTGCATGATTCAGTTAAGCAGATTCAGTGGTCTCTGGCGGAGCTGGGGAGTGAAGAAATCTTGTTTGAAGCATTGAGAAGGACCATCCATGAAGACCATGTATCTGCTTGCTTCCCTGCTGCCACAGCTAGCAAGGATAGGCTCGCTCTCCCTCTGTGTGCTGCAGGAGACTTTCTTCACATTTTTAAATTGATTTACTCTATACTTTGCTCTCATAGAGAAATTCACCCTAGGCAAACACCAGACTCCGCCAGGCATGGGGTGACCTCACATAGAGCAATGAAGAATTATCATGCTCCTTTTGCAGATGGGGCTCAGATGCACCTCTTGGAAGGGCTAAGTGGCCTGCAATGAGTTCATGCAGCAAATCTGCAGCAGAGGTCTTTCCATCAAACACTGGGCCTCGGGAGAGCAAGCTTCTGACTCAGGCTCCATGTTTGACCTTGGGCAACTTGCTTGCTCTTTTCTATGCTCAGATCTCCATGTGTAAAATGTGGGTAATGCTGTTGCCTTTCTCTTGCCTGTTTGGCAGTGTGGTATCTTGTGTGTCAGATATCCCAGCTGAGATCAGGGCCTTTTTATGCTACAGCAACAGAAATAAATTAGGAGCATCAGAAATACAGCCTCCCCCTGTACCCTGGCCTTTTATCACAAAACCCTCCTCCCCTTGCCTGTGTTTACGGGTGATGAGCAAGAGACAAACCAGAAAACGAGCAAGACAAAAGATTGATTGTGCATGGTTTGTTGCAAGCCCAGGAGAGGCCCAAGACAATTAGGGGGGTTATCTAGAAGTTCTAGTTTTAATTGCTTTTTTTTTTTTTAATCCAAATTTATTTTTTGCCTTGCAAAGCTTTTAAAAAGCAGCAGCTTCACAAAGGGGCAAACCTGCCTGCTGTTCCTGGGCTGCAGAGCTCTGTTCCTGTTTGCCTTCCCACACCCCTTTTGAAGCTTGGTAATAACAAAGAGCTCAGCATAATGCTCTTGCTTTTCAAAACGATCACAGATAACTGAACGCTAATAAGACTGGAGCAGCATTGTCAAAAGGTATCTCAGCAGTGGCTGTCTCAGAGGGATTGAGACTGACAGAGGCATTTTCTATTATTGTCGGATGCTGAGGTGTGAGCATTATCCCTGCACCCATCACCCTGTCCAGAGACTAATCATGCTTTGTCTGTGTCAATTCCCAAGCACGTAAAAGTGAGTTAAATAAAATTATACAAGGAATGATGGAGAAAGGGGACAGAGAAAAAGAAAAAGGCAGGCAGGATTATGGACTGTGAGGGAGAAGAGCAGAACAGATTGGGTGGGGACGGGGGAGATGAGGAGAGGAGGAAGGGGAAAGCTGCATCACCTCTGCTTTCAGTTTGGAAAATGGAGCCGTATTACATTGCCTTCCAGTCTTCACTGGGCTCCCTGTTGAGACACGTGGTGTAATTTTTTACAGGGGATGGGCTGTGGTGGGTGTGTCTGATCCTTCTTTCATTTTTGCATTCTGTAATTCCCTTAGTTTAAAATGAAAATCATTAAAGAATGAGGACTACTGTCTCGGGCTTTCTTGTAGCATCATGGGAGAACCTGAGTGTGTTCTGCAAAATAAGTTAAAGGCTCTAGGTGGTGGTTTTATTTGCATGTGTGGTGGTGAAGGATTGGGAGTTGGTGGGCAGAGAATGCTCATGTGCAGCTCTATGAGCATCAGCCCGGATGGGTTTTTGCTTGCACCCATTGGTGCCATCATTACAAGCCAAAGGAACATCCTCTCAGGCAAGATTTGGGGTAGATTTTTCAAGACATCTGTTCACATCTATCTCTTAAGTCGTGGGACTAAAATATAACATGGATGTGCCTGTATCTACATTAATTTTTAAAAATTATTTAGATATGTTAATGACCAAATTCCATAGCTTTTCAGTGACACAGAGCCTCTAGCGCTCCTGGTCCCAAGTGGATTGAGGTTTGTTTTCTCATGGATTTTTTTTCATAAGCCAGACATTTATTCTACAGATACGGGTGCTTAAACAGTTATCAGAACAACTGGATTATGCCTCAGCTTACTTGTGAGTATGAAATTTAGGCTTGTAAGACATTTTAAGTTATGTCTTAAGCAGCCTTTTCTAGTTGGGCTCAAATTTCTAGAGCCAAATGACTGAAGCCAGCTGTGTCTAGACTGGCTGCCTGGAGAGACAAAACTTGACTTGGAGCCAGTTCCCTTTGCACACAAGTTTCCACGGTTTGAGCAGTATATAGGCCTACAACCATGCTTGAAATCAGCAAGGAGCCACACAACGGTACGTATCAGACTGCAGCGCTCTCTACTTGACTTCAAATTTAACCTGAAACTTCAGCTCCTGTTCTTGAGAAATATCAGCCCAGTTTTCCAGGTGCAAGTACTCTTGCCCTATGAATATAAAAGGTATCCAGATGCCAAGTCCTGAGCAGGAGTGTCAGCTGATTGTGAAAGGCAGTTCTGGATATCAAAGATCTATAAGCAACGCCCCCTGCAAATCATACTTTGGGCCACTGTCTTTGTATTGCTCCAAATTCCACCTTTGCCGCAGGAGGTTTTCTGAAGCTCTGCTGCTTCTTCTGGGTCTGTAGGTCACTCTCATAGGATGCATACATGGAATTGTAAAGTCCAGGAGTTATTGCTGGTAATCATGTTGCCAGGAATAAGGATTTTGAGGGATAGAAAGGTGCAATTTACAGGTCAGATCCAGGTCACAGAAGAGTTCAACTGCACGTGAATACTGCAGGGCAACTTCACACCAAATGCATCTGTCCCCTAAGACAATGTGGCCAACTAACTTTCTTCTGAGACAGTGCTAATATAGTCTGTATACATTTGACCACATTTGATGATAAGAGCTGGGTACAGGCTTGCTACAGTTCACTGTGGAGTGAAAATAGGAGGGAAAGTGGGTTGGTAACAGTAGGGCATCGCCTGCCCTTTGGATTGACTCGGTGTGAGGGGAGACCAAAAACTCTGACCCAACAGCAGGATACAGCTTGACCATATCACAAACCTTAAGCATCTGAGACCTTATCTGAAACTGATTTTAGGGCTTAGGGGAGAAGGGTTGTACACAGGGGACAGCCTGGAGCTGCAGTTGGGTCTTACATCTCTCTACCAACCCTCTCAATCAGTGGTATCTACTACTGGTCACGTTTAGGTTGGGAAGAGGTGTAGTTCCTGAAAGTGAAAAGCAGCAAAGAAGGATTTTCAAGATAGAGAAGAGGAACTGAAAGGAAAGGGAACACATCTCCTTTGTAGCCACAGCACAAATCTCCATCTGGTTACAGTTCCATTGCTGTTTAACTGGAAATCCAGAGTGATGGAGATTTGCTTAGCCTTACCTGAACATGGGCTCATGAGATGTATTGGGTCCCACCATAGCAATGGAGCTTGTGTAGACAACATACGGGACGTTCAGGATACAGCAGCCCCTTAACATATTTTCAGTACCTGTGGGGCAGGTTGGGAAGGACAAACATTAACCACCTTGCCTTGATTCCTGTTGTGCAAATCAAGAGATTTCCAGGCTTAGGATTCTGACTTGGAACGGATCCATCATTTTTATGGCTGAAAAGATGTAAAGCCACAAGTCAAGGCTGCAGTTCCTCAGATACGTTTGCACAGGCATGGATGGTTTATAACAGGACAGTAGCAGTTATGTCTATAGCTATAATGTGGCTCAATCTCTATGGCTATTGACAACTGACTTAACTTGGACTTAATAGTTGCTAACAAAAAGGAAGCTGACAGCTTGGCAGAGAAAAACTCCACATTTACCATCTTTTTTGATTCATGGGCAAACTGTTGGATGGTGAATTGCAGCCTTCTGGCAAAAGGATTGGTGTTTTAGTTGCATATATTGCTCTATAGAAGATCTGCAGGATGACAGTAGGGTGAAAATCATTGCAACAAACTCTTGGTAGCTGCAGAATTTTAAATAAAATAGTGGGGGCAGCTTACAAGTCCGCATGAAATCCAGATGAATCTGAAGCATGGTTTGGTTTAAGAAAGGTTGTTCTGGCTGAACTTGTGTGTCAGTGTGCGTGGGCTTTGTTTGGTTGCTTTTGGAGGAGGGGATGGGTTTAAATGATTTATGACTCTTCCAGGGATGGTTTTTGCATTCATCGTGATTTTGATTCAGCTTGGTTCTACGAGAACTTCAGTGACAACAGCATAACCATGGTTGCATAGTGAGGGCCTTCAGATCTGATAAGGCACATCTTAAAGGAAGCCACTCATAGGGTTGGTTTCTGGAAATCTCCATACTATTTATACCTGACTAATCAGGCTCTGCTCTTGAACTTTGATGCAGATCTTGTGTGGGAGGGCTTGTGATTTCTCTGTTCTCTTTGTTGTTAAGGGAATAATCTGAAATTATCAAGGAAATCCTGAGTTTAGGATAATTTCAGAGGGCATGAATCAATATGAAGACTTGGTGGAAAAGAATCAATTTACCTCTTCATGAGCCTATCACAATATGTAAAGTTAACTGAGAACCCCTGTTGAGAAATATCACATGAAACAGCTGAGTTAAAATCCATTCATCTTAAAAAGCAGATTAAAAAGTCTTTAAGTGACTAGATGGAAAAAATAATTCTTGTAGAAGAGGGCTATTCAATCCAGTCAACAAGACTATAACAGTATTTGGCAGCCAGTGGTTGAAACAGAGGAGAGAATCAAAGCAGAAGATAAATGTAAATTTTTGCCAGAAATGGTAATTAACCATAGCCACATTAATGCTCTTCAGCATTGTTAATGGCTTGCTGAAAGACACGATAGATAGTCCATTAACTTGCAGTCTTAATTCTAGGCAAAAAGTCTTTTGAAAAGGCATAGTCTAATTTAGCCACAAATTGTTGGGCTTAAGGCAATAATTGGATGAATTTCTGTGGCCTGAGTTATACAGAGCAGCCAGCTAGAAGATTACACAGCTGACCTCTCTTGACCCTATTTTTTTTCCCCCCATGAAGTCTACAGCAGGTATCAAATGCAGTTCATTTTTATTCTTTTACCTGCTATGATTTTAATAGAAATCTTTAAACTAATCTCCAAATTCAAGATTTGGAGAAGTCCTTGTGAGGGCAGCAGCCTCATTTTAGGGAGATCTACGTGAAGCCATCCAAGGGGAGGCAGAAATGAGGGACAGTTTGTCTCTGGGAAATAAAGCTCCTGTAAAGACTTCTCAAACGGTGCTCCTCAAAGAGGCACTCAATCACCAGTCACGTTGGAAAAAACTTTGCATGTGTGGTTTTCTGGGAATGTCACGGACATCTGCAAGAGGTTTGGTTTGCTGAATAGGGGAGTTGCCCAATGTTCACTGCTATCTGTAAAAACCTCACTGCGCTGAAGTACCTTCCTTATCGCAAGCAGACAATGAAGAGGAAGATCTCAGAAAGCCATTAAAAGGCAGCAGGAACCCTCAGGCTCTGAATATTCTCAGTACACATGCACAATACAAGCTCTTAAAAGCATCTGGTTTTGAGAACAACTACAGCAATGAAAAGAAGGATGGAATTTAAATGTTGTCCTTGAATGCATCAGCAACTAGTAGAAGCCCTAAGCAGTAATCGAGTTTGAGAGAGAGATATATATAAAAATATATATAAGATTCCTTCCTTGTGGTTAACAACTATTTTAGTAGCTAACAGCCTGAGGTGCCATTGGAATTGCTGCTGTAATAGGGATTTCATTATTTTTATAGCCTGTGCTTATTTCCTAGATTTATGAACAAATTTTCTTTAAGCAGATCTTGCACCTAACAAGAAATCAGCTCCTGGTGATAGGAAGAAAGTGGTGTGGAGCTCTCAGTTATGAGTGGCTTCTAGACACGTAATAGTTGTGAACTCTGACTATAATTAAAATAACATCACTCCTTTAATAGTGTGGATGCACTTCAACTGGTGTAGTCTTGCACTGGTATATAGGGCAGATTTTCCTGCCTGGAAATCCCTGGGAAAGCTATAAGCCATCTAGAACAGGAGTTAACTTTTAATTGCTGTCTTTGTCACATACTAAACTGTTTCTTACCACCATGGGCATGTTCTGAATCACCTCAGTACTATTAGTTATACCCTTGACCAGAATAATCTAGTAAATCTAATAACTGGGCCCAGATTTGACTTTCTGAGATGAAGCTTTGTCAGTGGAGAGGAGCAGCACAGCCTGCCCTGAGCAAGGAGGGGCAAAGGCAGAAACTGCCCTGCTGGAAGGGAAAGGTCCCAGGCCCCTTTCTCATCTCGTGGTGGAGTGGTGCCTGTGAAAATCAGGGGACAAGGGGGCACTAAATCAGAGAGGATGCGTTCATCATAGCATCTTGTATGACTACACTGAGGTGTGTGAATTTAAGCCTGTATTTAATTGCTTGCTTTAAAGAGCTTAGCCCCAACGTTGACAGCTCTCATTTCCCAAAAGGGCACCGTGCTTCTCTAGTCCACAATAGCAGCTGTGTGAATAACCACGTGAACTCCCCGCATGGCAGTAAGGAGCAGATTGTAGTCTTGAATGTCTCCTTTCATCACTGTCACATGAGTGGTAGCTGGAGAAAAATAATACAACCATAGATGATTCAGGGGGAAAAAAAAGTACAAATCCGCATCCCCACCTTCTTGCAGAGGGAGGATGCTGCTTGGAAAGCTTTCTTCTCCACAGGACAAGCTGAAGCACACTAACTAATGACTATGCCATTTGAATACATCACACCAGGGGAAAATACATCCCTGTTTTGGAACCCCAAGAAGCCAGAACTGCATCTGGTTTAATTCAGCACAGCACTTTGCCAGTTTGCACCAACTGTGGGTCAGGACAACTGTGTCCGTCACCGTAAATCTCTAGCATGCATCCAAGGAAGTGTTGGGCAAGAATGGGAGACTGCTGGCCCGGGGCTGCAGCTGGCCACAGGACTTGCTCTAGCACGTGCCAATGAGGGAAACTGTGCCAGACAGTTTCGTTAAGGCAGAAGATTTTTAGAGCTTAGTGGGAATAACAAGACAAGTTCAAAGGACATTGCACAGAGCTTTACTTAAATTTCAAATGCTGTAGATGGGAAGGGAAAATAATGTAACAGGTTAAAAAGTTTCATAGGAAATTCTTCCCTTTAAGGCATTCAGAAGGGGTTTCTTTCCCCCCACATCTCCTTTCCCCTTGTCTTCTCCATCAAAATAGCTGTTCCGTACTGAGCTACCATTAACATCTATTGCTAATTTTCTTGCTTTGATACAGTGTTGTAACCTTTAAGTGGAATTTTTGCCTTTTTCCTTTTCTGTAGTCAGGAATAGGCCAGCAAGGAGCTGGGTTTAGGAAGCTGTACTCCTTGGGGCAGGACTGCTTTGGGAAGGAGACATCTCCTCTGCCCTGCGCTGGCAGCTTCCTGGAGAGCCCCATGCAGCCAGGGATCAGGGTAGGGATTTCTGAGGGATCATGCACATGAGCGGCTCAGGGAAGAGCCTGTGACTGCAGCCATGGAAGTGGTGTGATATGGAAACCCTTAGTGAGCAACAAGCAGGACAAGGGGATAAAAGAACAGGGTTATTCCTCATGAACTCAACAGAGAGACAAAATTCAAGATAGTAGGTCAGCTAGTAAGTATGGTGTATAGGAAGAGGCAGCAGTTTTACAAAAGGGTCAAGCTGGTTTCTTAATTAGCATAACTAAGATTTGGTGGACTAGCTCATAGGAGTTTTAATAGTAAATGAAATTAATATTAAAACACAGAGTTGATTCAGCAAGAATAGAACAGAAAAAGAAAGAAGGCATTGCCCACATAGCAGGGGTAATACACTTGCCTGGAGGACCAGAGCGCAGAGGAGGATGCTCCCGCTGAAGGTCTTTGCCAGTGCTGAAAGGTGGAGCAGGGCATTAGCAGCCCCATGGTGGGGGGATTTTGCTGCTACTTAGTGGTGAGGAGAAGCCCATAACCTGTCTTCCTGAAATGTCAAATAGTCTCTTTTGCATCACCCGTCTTAAGGCAGCTGGTGCAATTAAGACCAGCGCGAGAATGATGAGAGCTCAGCCAAAACCAGGGAGGATATGAGGCAACCAGGAGAAATTTTCAAATTGATAAGCCTGATGAGCTTTACCCAGGGCTACTAAAGAGGCGATGGATGTCACTGCAGCTTTATTGCATTATCAGCTACTTTGGAGAACTTTTGGAGGAGGCACTGGAAGATTGCAGTAGAGCAAATGAAACACCTGTGCTTAGAAAGGAGGTAAAGAAGAGCCAGGAAATTACAGAACAGCTTGACTTCAACCCCAGGAAATTCAGGAACACACACTTCAACAACCTGTGTGTGAGCACCTGTGTGATAATAAGGAGAATAGAAGCAGCTGACATGGATTTGTCAAGAACAAATCAAGTCAGATAAATCTCCTTTGTTCTTATGACAAGTTAACAGGCTGTACGGATATTGTGGAACAGGTCGGTGTCATCTATCTTGATTTTAGAAGGGCTTTGGAAGCTCTGTGTCATTCTCATAAGTGAGTCAGTAAAACATGGTCAAAGTAAGCTCCATTAGGGCGAGCACAGCACTGGCTGAATTACAGTTCCCAGGGAATTGCCAGCTGTGGTGGGTGGCTGCCCTGGGGCTCTCCAGGGCTTATTGCTGTATTTTGGTCTTTTTATACAGTTTTCATCAAGAATCTGGCAGATTTGTTCATTAGATCAGCATAACATCAGATTGGGAGGGACTTGAAGTACGCTGGAGGATTAAAGTATTAGCTGAAAGTAACTAATAGAGTCTGAAAAAGAAAAAGAGGCGGAATGTGATAGGGATAAAGAGAAGGCATTGGGCTTAGCGGGGAAGAGGCAGCAGGTCTTCATGAAAGAATTAAGTTGGGCTCAGGAGCTATCGTTTGTCAGCAGCAAGGTCTTGCAATTGTGAAAAAGACGTAATTGTACGGACAGGTACAAATAGGGGAATAGTTTGCAGAATAGAAGAAATAAATCCATCAGCTTTAATTGGCACTGGGAAGGCCACAGCTGGCAGCTCCGGCCTGCCCTCCGTGCCCCTCTTCCAGAAAAGAGCAGCGCCAATGCCCAGAGATACCGAAAGTATGAGCTGCGGAGAAGGAGGGGGTGCAGGAGAGCCACGTTAACCTAAAGGAGAAAACAGCATGGAGGGCAAGGGGATGGTTTGCAAATGATGAAGATAGTTGCAAAAAAATGACAGAATTGACCTATTCTACCTGTAAGGTTAGATGAGAAACCAAGGACTTAAACCGCAGATTAGACTGTACCAACAGTAATGGCCTGGCGGCGCAGAAATTGGCTGCCCGGGGTGGCTTGGGGACAGAATGGAAAAACATCAGGAAGGTTGTGGCCGAGCTGATTCTGCCTTGGGGCAGAGGGACGGGGGGTGGTGGTGGTTGGGATGGCCCCTCAATGCTGCTTCTGCCTCATTTTTCTGTGATTTGCTAGGGTGTTAGGCCACAGGCCTCTCCTGGAAGATGGATTATGGCAGCTCCTTAAGGTTTAAACAGGTTTTTCTTCAATTGTGGGTGCTTTTAAGGCAATTGGCTACCTGGAGCGTGGAGAATCCAGTCTGGTGAGTTCACCTGCAGAGGGATGATTTCTGGCGGTGAAACATCCCCGAGAGTCCTTTAACTTGCTTTAAGTGTATATCTCCTTTTTATTGCTATCTCCTAACAGACAGGATCTCCCTTATAATTTTTTTCCTCTCTCATTTGAAGCAGGCTGAAGGTTTGGGCAGTCGGAGAGAGGGAGTCCCAGCCCACCATTAACCGTGCTGAGCACTGTGAGCTGCATTGGCTTGTTTGGGGTGGGTGCTCTCGAATCTAGTAAAACAGGTTGCTGTTCCCCAACATCCCTCACTGTAATCCACCCTGGTGAAACATCAGAAGGCAGCTCTCAGAACATGATCAAATAGATCAATTTAATATCTTTGAGCATGTTTACTGAGACTCACCTCTCTTTTATTCACAGCACAGTAAGGCTACTATCGGTTTCTCTCAATTATTTCAGTAATTTCTTTCACAATATCTGCAGTAGATGCTGAGCTTGATTCTATTATTGTCGGGGTTTTTTGGTTCTTGTTCTCAGAATTGGTAATTGGTTGGAGCAGTTCAGGAGCGTGGTTTTTTTGACCTTTTGCTGTTAGTCCGTCTGGTTGAGCAGAAGATGCTTTTGTGATTGAGGAGTAGAGAGAAAGTTGCTGCTAAGATCCTACCGTGCACTGTTAATCTCTCAGCCAATATGTTTTCTGAACTAAGTCTAAAGTTTAACTGTCATGTAATGGTACTGGCTGAACATTAACTCCATCCAGTTATCTATAAATCACATTTTCACTTACAGTCCCGTGAGTGCTGCCACAGACATCCCAATGCTACGTACAGGCCAATTCCAGGCTCTCTGGCTCAGCCTTTCCTTCCACCACAGCAGCGTATCATCAGTGGGGCACCGCCAGCTTCCCTTGTTATGTGGCCAGTCTCAGCCCGACATTTTGATGTCAGATGTTTTCCACCCGGGACCGCCCTCTCCCAGGGGCCGGGTTGGCAGCACGTTGTGGCCAAGGCCTCTCTGGGTGTTGCACAAAGACGGTGTGTCCTAGGTATGTGCTTTGGGCAGCCTCCTTTTAGTGGAAGCTGCCAAAAAAAAAAAAAAGAGCTCTTGTTCCCATGCACTAGCGAATTTGTATACGTGGTATATGGCAGCAGGTCTATCTAGGGCTGAGCTGCCTTGTGCACAAAGCAGGCAAGGTCAGGAAAGGCCATGGAATACAAACATACATACACATACATGCATGCACGCTTATGTAGGAGCAGAAAACCCTCTCTTAATTGGAAAAACATCTAGTAGTAAAAGCTCTGCCACATCCTTTGGCAAATTATTACAATGGTTAATTATCATCATCGTTAAAAGAGTGCATGCTTGTTACTTTATCTGCCAGGCAGTGGCTAATATACTTTTTCCTTGCTAGGCTGTAAAGGACACGTGCTCTTCAGTTAGTCATGTGGACTAAAAAAAAAAAAAAAAAGTAGGATTGGCTTTGTCTAAGGGTGCTTGATCCTGTCCTAAGAGTGGGGTAGTGGGAAGACCTGCCCTCTGGCCTGGCTGCTTCTCGCTTTGCCTCTCTCATAAACGAGATAACGAAGTTGGGCCTGAGCAGCTACCAGTCTCTCGTTGAAGCCAAGCAAATTACTTCCTTAAGTCTGGAGTAGTCAGATATTTCCCAACCCATCTTTGAACCAACTTGTCACCATTTTTTTGTGAACTGTAGCCATGCTGGCCTACCAGAGGAAGCACTGGTAAACAGGGAAATCTCATTTCCCTGCTTACTTTATAATACGTACAGAGTACATAGCGTGGCTTGGGAAGCTTAGGAATAGTTTTGTCCCACATCAGGATCGCTGTTTCCCTGTCCTCAGTGTCCTGATCTCTGAGCACAGGTTACAGCTGCTGATTGGGGCTGTGCTGGGGGTACTCCGGGTAGCCCTGCCCCGGTTGTGTACAGCAGGCTGAAATGTGGAGCAATACTGTCAGCGCTGTCTTTACTATAGTGGTAACATTTAGCTGTCTTTAAAAAGCAATGTATAGCAACTTGCTGCTGAGCATGTGGTTAATGAAGAGTTAAGACAGTGTGTTCAAAGAGTAACTGTGTTATGCTTGTGTGTGTGTGTGTATATATATATATATAGTTTAATCAGCTCCTGCTAGAAGTTCAATCTGTTCAACTCTACCATTGATTTTTTTTCTTGTACTGTGTTAAGCGTTAGGAAATCGCCGTTTCCCCTTGCTGTGATTACAATCAGTGGCCATAATGGCCCAGAGACCAACATGGGCCTGATGCTAATTTGGTGCTTGGCAGGCCAGCGCAGCCACAAACGTCCCGAGAAATTAATTTAGTCTTTTATCCAGCAACTCCCAATCTGTACAGTAGTGATTAACAGAACTGCCTTCCCTCAGAGGACTTTTTGCAAGGATAAATATATCAGAGTTGGAGGTGTTAGGACACAAAAAGCAAGATAAATACACCCTGAGAGACCCAGAGAAGTGCTGCATGGGAACGTTTGGCATCGAGTAACCTTGAGTATGTCCTCATCAGTGATGCAAAAAGCTGTATGAAGCAGAGGCCTTGACACTGTGGACATTTCGCAGTCTTTTCAAGACTTAGCCTTTGCTACAGTATTGGTATCTGTGTATCTGCAGTGTAATCTGATCAGTAGGGGGAAAAAATTGGCTGTGATTTACACATCTTGTGGTTTTGTTAGGATATAAAAAACAAGTTCAGAAACCAGAAGTGTCATATCGCTGACAGAAACAGCCCAGGTCCTCTCCTACAGCCAAGGCCTGTGCAGGGTAAAGCCTCCCTTTGCAAACAGATGAGTAGTAGCATCTAAATGAGTATTGTTCCCATTTTTGGAAGGTTAAAAAACTAAAAAGTCCCTAACCAGAGCCTCTTCTAACAGTTTGAATTGTCACACGAGGTGATGGCCCTGGGAGGTCTCCATAAGCCCAGAGGCAAATTCAGAGAAAGGGCAAGCAGGCAAACACAGCCGCTCCTGGAGGGGGCAGATGCCCAGGAGGTACCAGGGGATCACAGGGAGGGGGCCTGGGCAGACATTTTGGTCGCAGATCAACCAACTCGACTTCCTTGAGCTGTAAGGAAACTTCTGAGGATGTGAGGCAAGTTCCAAATAACAACAGATTTTACTTTCTGCTCTTTAAGCACTGCAGAATTCTCTCTCTGGCTTGTTCCCCCGCCACGCAGCTGCTGTAGCCACCCCGGCTCAGCAGAGGGAAAGCTGTGATCCCTGTATCTGTACTGTTGTAAAGCTCCCACAGGAATGGAAGGGCTGTTCCTGCAGGAAGAGTCTGCCATATCCAGGTAGTGCCTCGCTCTGCAACGCAGAGCAAGCTGCTCAAACCTGACATTGCTTGACAGCTTACCTAGGGTACTTTAGGAACTCAGTGTCTCACCCTGAAGGCAGGATATGCTCCTGTATTGGTTAGTGTGGCTGGGAACGCAGCGCGGTGACTAAGTGCATCCTAGAGACAAACCTCAACCCTCCGAGCTGGCAGTCGTGCTTGCTGAAGCAGTCCAGCCAACCTCCGCGGAAGAGTCGGTCCCATCGTGGGCAAGGCAACTGTCAGATTTGGCTTTAGTTACTGAAGGCCCTTTTGGCCCCTCCATGCCATGGAGGACGACCAGAAGCAGGGTCTTTATGCACAGTCTTGTTTTATAAGAGACCTGCAAACATATAGTCAGAGAAAGTTGAGATGGCAGGAAAGCAAAACAGATTCCCTAATTTCAGAATGCAGTTTGCCTGAACTTGTTTTGAACTTTGCAAATACAGGACACCTGACAAATTCATTTACAGTATGTTTATTTCTCAGTGCATTACATGAAAGGTCTTTGGTATTTGTGGGTTCTTGAATACTGTTCCCACTCTGCTCTGTAAGAAAATGCTGAATACAAAACATTCCATATACAGTAACAAACCCCATAGCAAATAAAGAGAAATAGATAATTGGAACAATAACATAGCAATATGAAAACAGATAAGTAACCATGCAAGAGGTGGAACAAACAGGTTGTGTTTACAACAAACATTAGAGCCTGCCATAAATGATTTCATCACATCAGATGAGATTTATTCTTGCTCTAAGTTAAGAAATTACATGTGATTGCAAGATACTGCGTACGGCTGCCCTATAAAAGACAAAACGGTTGTAAAACTTATTACAATGAGAGAAGCTGGGACCATTTGCACACATATGAAACACACTGATATAAATAAAAAAAATACTGTGTAAAATAACTAGTGAAAAAGTTAACATTTCCTTCTGTGGGTGGCAATGTGCTTTGTGAACAATTATAGCACCTTTGAATTGCTTGGTTTCAACGCGATTGCAGAAACGTTGAGTAGTTTAAACCCCTATACCACCAAACACCAGAATGGAATGTCATCTCGAATAAGGCAGAAGCTGTAAACCTGGAGGAAAATGGATTTCCAATAAATTGTATCGAGAAGTAATTCCAGAAGCTGATTGTCTTTTAGAAGCCTTTGTCACAGTGGTCAGGTTCCTACATTAAAATAGTTCATTGCAGAGACTGGGAGAGAACCCTGATCAGAGCCAAACTCTCAGAAAGGCGCTTGTGAGCCGTAGGCTCTGCTCCGCTGAAAGCAGCACCAGTCCGTGCCTGCTGAAGAGCTGGAGCTGATGCTTTATGGCCTGTTCCTTTGAAAGCTGATGGCAAAATGACTGTGGAGTTTGGTGGGAGCAGGTGAGGGCTCTTCTCTCTAGTTTATTCCTATTTCCCTGGGTTGCTATCAATTCTTTACAGTAAGTGCAAATTAGGTACTCTGGAGAGAAGCATTCTCTGCCTCCCAGGAGTACCAGATTGCTGGTGAACGCCAGGGTGCATGAATTGCAAAGATTTGTGGTTGTGCAATGCGCTGCTGCTGCTTCTGGTTAGCCCAAGGCAAAGAAAATGCGTTACTACTACCAGAACTGATCCAAGTCAAAACCACACTGGATCTCAAAGAAACATTAAGAATTTCAAAAGAAGTCTTAGGAAAAAAAAGGGAAAGAACACACTATGGTATTGCACAGTATGCATGTAAGATAAAGCACTAAACATTTCAATTAAAATATATTTCTAAATGAGCACGCATTCAAAATAAATCCACTCTCTAAGTTACATAGACATGGCAAAATGCATTATATGCCCTGGCTAAAATGAACCTTAGTATACCGCCTAAGATGGAAAATGTGGTTGGAGTGGTTTGCTTAGTCATGAATATCATTAATGTCAGCATGCGAGGCTGCGTTCACCTTTAAAACACAACTAAACTGGGACTGCACAACAGTGTGCTCCAAACCTTTTGTAAGCAGAGAGGAATGAAACCCCAGCTGAGAGAGAAAGTCCATGTGGTATAATCCTTACTGTCACCCAAATTAAAGATACAGTACCGCATAAGAGAGAGATGTAGCCAAATAAAGCACGAAGTGTGGGGAGAAAAAAAAAATAATACATAGCTCATACAGAAACCTTGGAAAAGTCAACAATTAAAATGGTTGAAACCCAAACCTAACCAGTCTTTTGACAGTTGACTTGGAAGGATTCATTGCAAACAACTTCAATTAAATTTCCTTTCATCTTGCCACTAATTTGTTTCAAATAATTTAAAATCCAAAATCCCAGTCAATATGAGTGACTTGAAGAGAGCACTCATCAAGCTAATGCAATAGCTTTGACTTCAGGAAGACAAACTTGGAGGAACAAAAATTTATCCTTCAATTCAGTGTGAAGGCTCCAAAATGTCAGGGAAATGAAAATGGTCTCATTGTACTCCCTCTCCCCCAGATTCGCCCCTGTAGCTACAGAATCAGTGAAACCAAATTTTGCCGTTTCCCTTTTTAAAGATTGCTTTGGTTTGGTTTAGTTCCTGAAACTGCCAGGAAGGCACCTTCTTAATGTGACAAGCGACTACAGCCAGCAACAACATGCCCAGTGTACATGTTTAGACTGAACTGAGATTTCTCCTCAGCCTTCAGGTCCTGATTTTCCGACACCTACTGGCAGGCATAAGAGGTTATCTCCTGGAAGCCACCAGCCATGTCTTCTAATGTCCATGTGATCAAGATCAAGGTGGTCCTGATTCAGCAAAGAGGTAATCAAGTCCTCAGTTCCTACACAGTAATCAGTCTGTAAATGGGGAAACGTTTTTTTTCAAATTTAATTCTTAAATGGAATGATTATTTCAAGATTATTTCAATTATTTCAAGAACGTATCAGTGGCTGCACCATGCTTAGCTGTTCACCAGCAGAGCTATTGCCCTCACAGTAGGTAACGGAGGGCCAGGGGCTGCTGTACAGCACTCCAGTCATTCGGCAAATGCTGAAAAGCTGAGCTGTTTGTATTTGTGGTGGGTTTTAGGCTGAGAGCTGGTTGCCAGCCTTCTTTAAGATACCGATTTAATTCAGCATCATCTGTATACACATTGTCATTAGGGTTAGCACTGGATTTAGAGTTAGTGCTGGATTTGAAGCTGAGCTGCATTCAAGAGACTTTGAAATAAAGTGAAATAAATGAAATATTCTCCCCAAAGGCTTACAAATAGAGGATGACTGCTTGAGGTCAGTTACCTGCTTGACTCGGGCAGTTCTACTTGTTTTCTTGTCTGCTGACTGTATCACACTCCAGCTGTAATTCAGAGTACAAGCAGGCAAAGGAATGTTGGAGCCCAAAGCATCAGCTCTTGGCAAAACTCTGCATTCACTTCAAATGTTGGAGTCTTAGGGAAGGAGAGCACCTGATCACATCTTGCCTTCAACTCCCCAAACTTTTCTAATGCTTTGGATGTGTCCAAAGGAAATGTCCAAAGGCAAACTTGAGCATGCAGAAGTACAACCTGAACTATGGGGGGTGACTGCTGAATGAGCTCCGCCACTGGCGTTAGCCAAGCAGCATGAGGATTCAAAAGCAGGGCAAGTAAATGTATTTATTGCAGCCTCCATGCCAGCTTAAACCACGGCTGTTTATTGTTTAGCTGTACAGCAGTAAAAAGCTTCTGTATGAGGACAAGCTTCTGGTGCTTGCTCAGCATCAACTTACACCATTTCACCTTTTTTGGGGTGGATGGTTGGATTTCTAAAGAACAGGGCCAAATGAAGACAGTGAATTCCGTCATTCTGAAGTAGCCTGTAACCTGTTCATTTCTGAAGATGTAACGCTCTTCAGAGGAAAGGTTTGGATGTTCTGGTGTCTCTGTAGGTCTACCATGTTTACAATGCATATGGAAAGTTAATTTAATGCGTGGCCAACGTTGGGCTGGCAGAGATCCTTAAATTTAAGCCTCATTTCCAGTGTACCACATGCTTCTGGTTTCGCCTTAGGAAGATCACTTTGGGTGACAAGGGTTGCTGAATACACGGACCATACAGTTGCTGGTCTTCGCAACAGCTTTTGACAGAAATATTGTAGCAGTACAGTTTGCCTTTTTCAGACAGCTGTAACCTGCACTAGGAAGCAGCTAGAATGTGACCAATTTACCTGACTTATGCCATAAAATTACAAACACAAACTCAATTTGCTCACTTTCATCCTGGGCTGAATTTGAAAACTGTCAGAATGGGGTGGGGATTAAAAAAAATTTAAAAATTAGTACCATGGGTTCTGTTGATCAGTCTCACCCTTTCTAACAAAAATCACTGTCTACATGAATGACGTCAACTTGTCTGACTCGGTTTGCACAGCAGGTGTAGTGACTCATTTGTCACTGAAGGGCAAGTCCAACTTCTTAACCCTGGAAGCCGGGACTTCCCCCAAAATAACAAGTTACTGCAAAAAGTAAAATGACTTGGTATTTACTCCCAGCGTAAGATAAGCTCTTGACAAGACTCTAATTCCTTAGGCTGTGGTTTGCTGTCTCCAGATTCAAATGGCAAGGGTTTACTTATAAGATAAAAATGAGACAGTGTGAAAACATTTTTCCTTATTGATGTAGGATTAAGAAACTATTGCAAAATACCCTTTTCTGTGAATAGTTATTGCTACTACTTAAATTAATTAGCTCTGGATGTATGGACAAGCTGAACACAACATGGGAAAATTCTTGCACAATTCCATCATGTCTCATACAAACTGCTCTGTATTTTCACAGAAACAGTCTAATCTCACTGAAGATAAATAAAGTCAATGCTGCCATGAACATTTGCATCAAAAGTCCCTGCTTAGCCAACCACGAATAGAAATAACGCCACTCACATGCAAGTAGCACCATGAAAAGCCAAGGTTTTGATGCTGAAATCTAAAGAGTAACCTGAATTTTCAGAGTTATGTTTTAAATGTTCTTTAAATTTTCCAATTTGTTCTTTGCTTAAAAGAAATCCTTGCAGGTCATGCTTTAATGGCCCATGGAAGTGGTATCTTCACCTGGAAGTCAGCATGACACCACCACATGAAATAAAAGCAGATGCCACCAACTATACCAATGGACAAGGCTAAGGCTTGGCTTTGAGTCTAGATGGGATTGATTGTCTCTTCCAGTTAAGCAGTGCTTTAACTGAGGAACTTTCAAGGACAGTGAGGAAACAAGGAGAGGATTAAACTCTCGAGAGACAGCCAGGAGGTGTCATTCCTGTAGACACTGTGGAGGATACCTGCTATCTGTTATTCCAAAGGCAAACCAACAAAATCAGGGAAAATGTTTGTAAGACTCAGAGCTATGGGTAAAACACTCCCTGCCATAAGGGCATAGTATTGGCCAGGTGAGGAAACCCAGTTGCCAACACTGCAGCCTCCTATCCACTTCATTTGCACTCTGCAATTAAGCACTGGGATACTGTATCTTTAACTGGTGAACAGGCACGGGGAACACGCAGATGCTCCTACTTCATCCGATTGCTTCTCCTTTTGGCTTCACTGTCATCCAGCAGTGAAGAGAGGATCTGGTAGGCCTGTGGTTGCTGAGGTCCTCCACGTTTGATCTTGATGCTGGTTCGCAGAGGGGAGCCCGGGATCACATCTTGTCCAGAGCCTGGCTCAATGGAAGACAAAGAGTCTGTAAGGAGAGAAAGTCACGGGAGAGCGCTATTTAAAAGGGGAGGAGGCTAAGGAAAGATTAAAGGGGCCCTTCTGACTGATACCTCTTCTGGAAGAAGTGTCCTGTTGTCTTTCCATCCAGCAAGCCACTGTGGAGCTACATGTCTGCTGCCATCATGCTACTCCTATATTAAGTCTTTCCCTTTGGCTGTCTAAACTCTTTGGGGTAAGTGCTCTTACTGCATGTGGCCCAGCAGGTCCTGTTCTCATTTGCAATTCCATTTATAAAGTGCTGTTCTTTTATTGATTATAATTTTGCTTGGGCTATAGCTGCAACTCAGCATTGCCCACAGACTCCTGTTATTGAAGGATGAGGCCAAGTGGTCACTGGGAAGTGATGCTCCTGGGGGTTTAAGTACCATTTCACTCCTTGTAAAGGAGGACATTCTGAGGCACTGAAAGATCGAATGAAAGGATTGATCCACCCTAGGCTACAGCCAAATTAGCAGTAAAGCTGGAAATAAATATTAGCTGTCCATTCTCCCAGCATGCCGCATGGTAACACTCACCTCCCTCTTCCTACAGCAGCCCTGCCCTACAAAGCTAAATATGCATTTGACTACGGCCACTCTTCTATTTTCCCAGCAGTCAGCAACAGATGCTGATAACTCGATGCTGCTTCATCATTTTTAATGCCCCAGTTTCTTCTTCCTTTTGCCTTCAGAGATGCTTGTTTCCCTGCCAAGAGCCCAACCTCACGAGCCAGACACCCAGCCTTGGCTTGATCCCATGAGGCAGCATCGCTGTTTCCAGCGAGCGGATGGCTGCTGGAGGATTTGTGCTGTGTTTGCTGGAAGCAAACACCACCAAACAATTTGGGCTTTCGTGTGTCCTGCTGGGCTGCTCCCTGCAGCTTGCTAGGCCAGATAATCTCAAACTGCCCTTCCATTGCAGGGAGCAGGTTTGTTTGCTGGTATGTTTTGCTGTGTTGCTTGGGCGGCTGTGGTTTTGGAAACCACACTGATTGTGAAGTTTCTTGGGAAAATGAGAGCATGTGATTGGCATTTCTGCGTGGGTCTTTAAAGCTGGGCTGAGTTGGGCTGCCCAGGAACCTGTGGTGAAATCCTTAACACCTACAGTGGGAACATAACCAGATAGTTGGCACTGGGTGATTTAAACCTGTGTGGTGCCCTTTAGTGTAGGGAGGTCTGTGCTCAAGGATATTCTGTTTTGTTATTTTATGTCTTTTTCTGTTTTGTTTGGGTTTGTTTTTTTTTTAACCATATACACATAAAGGGAGGAACATAATTGCATAAGGGAAAAACTGCCTTGCTTTCCAAGTTGTCTTTTGAAACCATATTTTTGTAGGGCCTAAAATATGTCCTAAGTTAAAGAATGGAACTATCTCAAAAGCACAGAGTAAAAATATAATTATTTATACTGTTACTGGATAAAAAAAAGGAACTATTTATATAAAAGTCAGACAATATAGGTGTTTAAATATGGCCTTAACTACACTGTACAATTAAAACCCATCCATTTGCACTGGTATAGAAGTATACGTGGGTATAAGTAACTCGCCTCCATCCCAAGCAATAACAGAAAATACATTTATGTCGGTAAAAACGGTTTGCCAAAATGACTGCTTCAAAATAACAGCAGCACATGCCTTGTTGCTAATGTGTTGCCAGACAGACAATGTATAAAGTAGATAAACTAGGCAGCTCTGCAGGGGCAAAACTGCTTGAATCCCCCAGACCAAGCCCCAGTGTCCATACAAGCTTCCTGAAGAGCTGACGTTGCTTTACACAAGTATAAATGAAGGAACCAAGTAAAAGATAATGGAGGGCCAGGCCCTGGGTCCTGTAAATACACTGGTCTGTGCTTATGGACTGCGTTTCCCTTCTCCTCTTGCCCGGAGAACGTACCGGCTGGGCATGGATTGCTGCCTAGGTAATCTAGTGGGCATCCTCCTGGTACCTCCACCATTGCAAAGCAAAGCAGCATAAAAACAACTCTTCCTGCCCTCGGTGTATAAAATCCAGTGAAAATATGAAGCAAACCAGGATTAACGCAGAGGCAAGGTCAGGGTGACTGTGGTTAAATCATGGGTTTGTGATTCATGATTTCCCAAAAAGCTTAAGCTGCTGCTGCCCATTGCTTCTGGAAATAGTCCTTTGGGCCACTAAAAGACATGCGTCCATTGAACAACGAAGAGCAGTGCTGAGAACTAACCCGGTTCAGCCGTATAATGGAGCACCACACACTGACACTGTTTCAGCTTTGAAGTGCTCAGCAGCATTTTCATTTTAGCGCTGTGCTGGCTCCAGCAGGAGCAGAAAGCACGCTGCCTTACTGCACAGTAATAGATGCACTTTGAGTCACTTGCTTAGGAACTGCTGGACATTTTAGCTATTTAGCATTTCCCCAGGCTAAATCAATATCCAAAGGGCACTTCATAATAAAAGTGGATGTCAATCTGAAGGAAGGTGCAAGCAGCTTGCTTTACAAGTATGGCCAGGGATGAGGTGCCATGTGTCAAGGAGAAAAAAAGAAAAGTGCTATAGGACTTGGGTAAAGATTGCTCATCTCAGTGCCAAGGAACAGGCTTGCTTCTCACAGGCTGGGATAGTAGATCGAAACAACATTTTGCCTCTACTGTGTTTCTGAAAGGGGAGGAATTGGCACAGCAACTTCTGGCAACTGTGAGAGAATTGATCCTCAAGTACCCCAAAGGGAGAAGGCTGACCTGTGATGACTGCACAAGCCCATACTCTGGTTAAGGGAAGAAAACACTCGTTAAGGGACGATGCCACACACTGTACCAATGACGGCAAATAGCCTCAACAGAAAACTTAAAATCTATCTGAACAAAGAACATGTGAGAGTTTCTTTAAATCTGGTTGTGAAAATAGGTTTTATGTAAGTTATAATCACAAGACGTTCAGGGATCACTGGTTTTCAGGGTAATGTGTAGCACTGTTTGGGCTTTCTCTGTAAAATATAGTGCTACACAAGGCGAGGGCCTCGGTGTTAAAGTCACTTGGAAGACGCTATTAACAGGATTAAATGATCTGGCCTAAAAACTTGAACAAGCAACTCCCTGGGAAGCTGGTAGGTGATCTGCGCCACATGGCTTGAGCTGCTGCTCATGACTTGGCTTTCTGAATTGCAATAAAAATTATTGTGGGGGTCATTTCACCTGCTACTGTAAAGCCAGAGTAACTAACTAGTGCAGTTGGTGGAAGCTCTAGGTCCTCAACAGTTTTAAGCATCCTTTAAGTCACGTTGGGTACCTAGATTTGAAAACCCGGCTTAAATAGATACTAGGCAGAGAGTTTAGGAGACAGGGAGGATTTTTAACCATCAAGCAGCTGCCTGAACAGAGCCTCCAGTTGTCTAGAAAAGAAAACCTTAGCGGCGCTTACCATGAATTCCTATCATGTGCTCAAGAATTAATACCCTCTCAGCTAAGATCTTCAGAGCTTCTCGAAGCTGTTGAACACCTTCCCCCTGAAAGAAGGAGAAGAAAACTATCATTGGTATAAATTGCAGAATAGGCTTCTTGTTCTTAAGGTTGCCTCCATAATGCCAAACTATGCAGTATGAATGTTTAAAAAAGAAAATATGTGAAAGAAGAGGTAAGCTGCAAGGGTTAAGTAGGAATGCAGGAGAAATCCCTACTTAAAGAAAAACTCCTTAGTTATACCCCACGTTTGCAGAGCCTCTGACCCAAAGCCAAGCCTTTCAGTTTGGTTCCTGCCTCTGCAGTGGGCCAAACCCAGGGTGTATATTCCTGTCAAACCTTCATAATGTGAAGCTTATGTTAACAACTATGCTGAACTACCTGGAGAACAGGTTTTGCTCTCATCTGACATTTACTTTGAACATCAGTGAATTACCTGGGCTTTCTCTTTGTTGGTGCACTGGAAAACTGGGACATGTGGCTAGCACCATCTTGTTGCTCCCTTATAAACTGGAACAGTGGCATGCAAGCCCATCCTGATGGGCTTCACGCTCCTCTCACAGAGCTCCTAGCTGGGCCACACACGGCCTGAAGCCGATCCATGTACTTTCACGTGCATTCCAGCTGTAGTTTGTTGCCCCCACTGCCTTAGATATAGGCTTGAAGGGACAGATTGAGGTTGGGGAGCATTTTAGGGTGGGAGAGCAGAGATGCAGGAACTCCAACTCTGCACGTGCCGTTTGATCTCCTCTGGGAGTCTGCCCCGGAGCTTGTGGGAGGGACAGTGGGGGAGAATTCCCCACCTTGTAGCAGCCCTGTGTGGCAGAACAACCCTGGGGACTGAGGAGGTGTCCAGAGAGCGTGGTGAGAAGGGCAGCTGACAACGTGGCCAAGGAAACCTCAAAGACCAGGATTTCTAGCATGTATTAAGATCAAACCCAAGGTTCAAATCATCTCGTTCTGCACTTTTAACTGTGGACAGGACTCTTGACCTCCACAAAGCAGCCTGCCAAAGGGAATATGCTTGAAGCACAGTAAGGAGACAAAAAAGAAAGTAAAATAACAGTAGAAATACATGCTTACATCAGCACCTTTGTCACCTTCCTCACCCTTCTTGCCTGGTTCACCCTAGAACAGACAAGAAACAGAAATTTGTTTTCATGTGACTGAGGACCCTGTCCAGGATCACTTGCATCTCATCCCTCCAAAGGAACAAATTAAAGGCACAAGCATTTCACCAGCAGAAAACAAACTGACTGACTGGCACTTCATGCCAAGGGCCAAAGTCCTCTCGTGAGCTCTGTTCTGGCTCCCACCAGCTTCCCAGGAGGTCATCACCATTTCCAACACTGATGAACTTGGCCAGGAGTGGCCAAGCTGCAGGAGGGGCTGGCTGCCATGGCCTGAGCCGACTACAAGACTATATACATCTCATGAAGATCTCAATGAGCAATGCAGATAAAAATACTGATCCCTTCCCCCAAACATGCACATGTTCATCTTTGATTTAGAACATAAAATCCTCCATTCTACTTTCATTAATCAGTCACATCACTTTCTGCCTCTGAAGATGCTCATTAAGCTTTTCTTGAACAAAGAGCCCTATATGCTGTGAACACTGGTCTGATGTTCCGCCCCCCCAACCAGGGCATTCATGCATTTCTCAAAGACCAGATGCCATGGAGACATTAAACCACAAGCTAAACATAAAACAACAGAAAGGGATAACAAACTGGTGAATAAAATAGAGTGGAAATGCCTGGGCTCCTCAAAACTTGTTGAACATCCCTGAGATACTTGCCAAGCAGGGGTGGGTGAGGAGGAAGGACTGAAGAAAAGGTTGTGTGAATTGTACAGAATGAGTTGGAATTAAGGAAGAGAGAAGAGAAACCTCCCAGAGGACCTAGGACCTCTCTGGATGCTGCCAATCAAAAAAAAAAAAAAAATCTCAACCTGCTCCACTAGCTCACTTTCAGCCAACCTTCATCTCCACTGGTTTGTTTGCACCCCAGCTGTATGTGCCAGTGCAGACATCTCCTGTGTGCATCTGTTCAGGTATTGCCAAGAAATCATTTGGAGACATCTCTTAATCTCATTAAAGGGTTTCCAGCTCAACTTGGCAGACCAAGGTGCAAGAGGGAGTTGAGAGCAGCTGATGTACTTTGGGCTGTTTAACAGTGCGCACCTTTGGGCTCCGGTAGTGCCAGGAACCTCAGGGGGCAGGGAGAGGGCTTCTGTCTGCCAAGGTTTGGCTAGCGGGGATCTGCAAGCCAAGCACATCTCCCCAGTTGGCCTGATGCCTTCCTGATCACAGAATTTCAGTGCTACGCTTAACATGCAGGAAGGCTGTGTTTCATTTACAGAGGAATATGTGAAGGTGAGGTTGTCTATTGAACAAATGTCTAAGCTGGAGACAGTTGACCTAAGCATTGCATCTGAGAGAGCTGGTTGAACCAGCTGCAGTCCAGCTGGGTGGTACTTATGGTGCCAGGCAGGCACCAAACCCATCTGAGTCTTGCACACACCCGCAAGTACATCACTTACAGGAAATCCCTTAATGCCCCTCTCTCCAGTCAGACCTGCTTGCCCCTGTTGGAAATAAAGTAAGTGTCATTAGGAGATATTTTTCCATTTGACAAGAACATAGTGTAATTTTTACTTGTGGAATTAAGATGGCTTAATGAAAAACCTTACACTTGGGATAATATGAAAAAAATTCCTTTTCCTTGACATTATCACTTAGAGACAGCAAAGGGGGGTCATGGTTTTCTGTCAAGTATCAGCTCCAAATCCCATCTCACATTGGAGAAGTTTGGTTCTATACAGAGCTACTCAGCTCAGCACCCTCTCAGTAAGACGATTAGCAATTTTTTGAACTTTACAGCAGTCAGTTACATTATACCAGGAAGGAATTTGGCTGGAGATTTGTTTCTTACAAAGATACCGCATTCTTCTCTCTAGTAAAACTGATGGGCTGATGCTGCCCCAGACAGCAAACAGAGCCCAGGACTCCCACAGAGCACTGATTTAATCTGCCTCCCGCTCCACACACACATCCCTGCCTTAACCCCAACAGCTACTGATCAAAACACATGTACAATATTTTGGTTGACATTGTTCCCAGTGGGGTTTTTTGGGTTGGGTGGGTTTTTTTGTTGTTGTTTTAAACAGAAACATTTTGAAATGGTACGTGTTGGTTTGGGGCGGAATGAAATGCCATCAAAGTGAGCATCTTTTTCCCTGTTTTTTCCCTCTGCAGCATTGGTTTCCCACCCCAGAGCATGCTGGGGTAGGGCAGAATCCCTGACCAGAAGAACAGTTATGGATTATTTCATGAGAAAGCAGGAGCTGGGGAAGAAGCAGCAAAATTTAAAAGCACCTGTAGAAATCCATTGATGAAACAGCCATATATTTAACCTGGCTCTTCTCCCCTAAATGTACACAGAAACAAACCCATCCTTTCTTTTCCCCAAAAACTACCTAGCTGCAGCTGCCGGCAAGCAGCTGACCAGCGCTAGGCAATGGCCTGTATCCATGCAAAGAGCGCTGGGAGGAAGGCCCAGTTTATCAGGTGCTCTGAACATCTCCAAAGGGGAATACCTGGATTCTGCACCGGAGGGAGTAAGGCCCCTGAAAAAGCCCAGGCAAGTGGCAGATCAGGGAGAGGAGACGTAACAACACACTCAAAATACGTAAACAGACTGTTCTCTATGTCCAGAGGGAACAGGAAAGGATGTTATCAGCTTAAAGGGGATCAAAGGATATTTAGGCTGGGTGTTAGAAATATCTTTTATCCCAGGCCCTCACTAGCTGCACCTCCGAAGACCGCCCGGAGGTGATGTGGTGTATCCCTCCCTGGCACTGTTTAAGAATAAGATGAACAGAGGCTGATCGTGAGCAGCGCACATATAGATGTGCCATCCAGGGGATGCGCTCAGACTGCTTCAGGTCTCTTCTATGTCTGTTCTCTCTGAGATTAAGCAGGAAGAATGTCTAATAACATTTTCTCGAATCTCAATAGATACCGTAAACCCTCCTCTGCTTTTCTTTGCAGCTGCACAGCTCCTCTGCTCTGTGCAAAGCTAGCTCTAATTTGTAGCCACCAAACCCAAAATTGCAGCATGTAGTTGTCAAAACCAGCATTCAAATCCACACTCACAAAGACAAAAAGCACACAGAACATCCTACAGAAATTCTGCCAGAAAAAGCAATCGCCTTCACTTTCCATGCTAACAGAGGAAGGACAAGAAATAGAATTTTTTTCTATTTAGCAAGACATTCTGATATTTGGAAATCTCATTTGTCCCAAACCTAGAAGGAGAGTTACAATTCTGTATATCTAACAAGGAGGGAACAAAATCAAAGTCTAAAGGATTTGTCTGTACTGAATGGACACTGTGCAACAAAGCTTTTGTTTCAAAATAAGTGTAGTCTTAGCAGTATGGTCAACCACAAACTAAAGCAAACGGTAAATGAATCGTTGAGGAAGAGCCCTTACCAGTTTCCTGGATGGAAACTTGACATTTGCCATATACCATGCCTTTTTTTTTTTAAATGAAAATAACATTTAATGGCAATGACTTGTAGTCAGTAACCTGTGCTGAAATCTCATTGGTTAAGGTTTTGCTCTCTATCAGAATCTTCAATTCTAGTCCCAGAAATAAATCAGTCTGTAACCTATTAGTAAAGCCAATACATGCCCAAAGTGGCTGATCTGCACAAGGGAACTGTTATTAAAAAATTACTAACAGTCACTTAAAATGGTCTCTGTCTTTCAGGGAGCTGCAAGTGAGAACAGGGACCAAGCACCCAAAACAATGTGCAAAGATACTAAAATAAAATAGAGCTTTTTAAAAGCATGTGTGCTCCATCCTCAGATATCCGCAGCTCCTTGATGTGAAGTGCGTCAGGAAGGAATGAAACAAGCCACCTGGACTTGCTCTCCTTGCACGCTGTTTGGGCAGAGGAACATAGTTTAAGTCTGTTACTGGTTATGGGCATGAATTTGGGAAGCCACCAAATTGGAGTTAACCAACTTGCATTTGTCTGTCTTAGCTCTTTCAGACATCCCTGTGCCTTTTGAATTGGAAGATGCTGTCGTATGGGGGAAGCACATCATCTATTGAGCCACCCATTTACAGGTGGTGACCTCCACATTCACCTCCATCTATGTGACAGTAGAAGTGGCACTTGGAAGAAAAGGGAACTTGTTCCCTACAGCTGTGGCACACTGTAGATGTCCATCATTTTAGAGGTAACAACCAATAATTTTCTCCTTATTTTTCTTCCTTCCTTTGACTCTGCTCCATGCTAGGGTGTTAGCGATGGCCCACAGTCCTTATGTGCCCACTTATACATTTTGCAGATCTAATTGCTGAATGGATCCTCCACCACATACTACATTCTCAAGTGATTTTGAGCGCCCAGAGTCTCTCAGAAGAGATTTCAAAGACCATGGCCTTTGGGAAAGTAAGCTGAACAGAAGGAGCTGAAGGCCGAAATGCCACTTTGAAACCCTTCCTGGTGCTTGAACACTGGAATGGGAATCTGACACATTTATATCCTTGTTAGATTTTTCTCCGGTATTTCCTGAACTTTACCAGTTTGGAAATAACATTCAAACAGCCCTTCTATCTATATTTAGTTATTAGCACTTGACAACCCATCAAGGATGGAAGTATAGCACATGAACATATTAAGAACATCGTGACCATATTCTAAATATATTAAGAACACAAGTTGACCTGGGGAATGGCTTTCGTTCAGGAAAAGTCTGATGAGCTTTTACTGCCTTATTGACAACAGAAGGAAGAGTTCAGTTAGACCACCCAAAATACTCCACACTAAAGAGCCTTGGTTGGCAGAGGAAAGTTGGTCTCCACAAGCCTTTATATACCATGTATTTGCTACCTGAATCTCTTTAGGGAACACCAGACCTTGCAAGCAATTCAACCCTTTATCTGTACTGTAAACCATCATCTTGGTTCTTGCAGAAGACCTAGAAACTCTACATTTAAAATTGTTCATGGCTGTACTCCCACAGAATTTGAAAGACCTATTTCGTATATAATTTCTGAGGCATCGCCCCCGATGTTGCTGGGAATCTCTCTGTGTATGTAAAACCTTACTCTCTCTCCTCGGTCTCCTTTGGAGCCTTTTGGCCCGGGTTGTCCTGGAGAGCCCGGTAAGCCCTAGAAGAGATGGAGAACAAGAAGGAATTAATTTCTACTGTGCAACTTTTGTGTAGGTGTAGTGAACACATTTCCCAATGATCCTCAGATCCTGAAAACCTCATACAACCGTTAAGCAATTGGGCTGGATTCTCTTTTACCCTCAAATAACAACAATGGAAGCTCTGTTTGCAGATATCCTGAGATCTATAGTTCCTGCATATCCCTCTGTTTGGGTCTTTTACTGCACTGCAGGCTACCAATGTAACATTTTTTAAGGGGTCAGTATGACAGGATAGTTCTTGTTCTCAGTTACCAAGAAGAAATTAATACACAGATAGTATGGTTAGCTTAAAAATCCCCACTACTTTCCCCCTCTTCATAATTGCCTCAGTGGGTGGCATGAGTAAGCCTACATACCTGAAAATTAATTGGATTGTGCAGTGGAAATTATTTTGAAGCTGTTCACTCACCGTAATAAACAATTTTCAAATTAAGACCAATCTCTACTAATAATTTTGCTCCCTGGGTTGAATAAATCTATAAAGCAGTCACCGATGGATAAGAAGGGCATAGTCTCCAGATTTCTACTAATTGAACTGCTTTGCAGAAATTGATCCAAATTCTTAACTTATCCACCCAGCGAAGCCACAGCTATAAACCAGACAGGGAAAGAACAACTTTGTTTATATTCATCATGTCAGTTCCCCATGACCATATGCAAGACGCTTTTTTCCACCTCAAGTGACTTGCACATCACCTTGGAGACCACAGCAAATGAGACTAGTGCTCCACTCCAGACCGCTGGTGATTTAAGCCAACCTGCTTAACAACAGCCCCCAGAAACCCCCACTTCTCAGCATCCAGAGAAATAGGCTTCTGAGGCATAGCTGTGAGGAGCCCCAATGTCTGGTTAAGCAGCCCAATAGAGTCATGGAATTGTTTAGGTTGGAAAAGACCTTTAAGATCATCACGTCCAACCGTTAAGCTAGCACTGCCATCCCACCACTAAACCACGTGTCTATAAGATTGGGCATTAGTGTTTCAGGGGTCTAAAGGAGGACTTGTTGCTCCTTGCCTGCCGTCAGCCCTACCAGCTCACCATCAAGCTGCACAGTGACCTGGCCACCAGCTCAGCTACGTCTCCCCTGGCCCCACAAGATTCAGAAACTCAGGCCTGATTTAGGAGGTTAACTAGGGCTGCCAAACGAGGTAAAGCACCAACCAGACTTGGCCCCCATGTCAAACATGTAGTATGAACAAAGCTTAAATGTTCATAAGCATCCTTTGCCCTTTACAGCTCTCAACAGCGACTTTCAGTGTGTGATTACATGGGGGCACTCAAGAACACTAAATTCCACAAATCTGCTGTGGGGGAAAAAAAAAGATTTATAATGTGTGCTGTATGTGAAAAAAACAGACTCTACTACAGAACCTACTTATGAATTGTGAATTACCTTATATTTAATCACAATAAATTGCATCTGTCATTTTGCTGCCAAATTTCCCACTGTGTTCATATCTATCTGGAGTTTCTCATGGTTCTCCAGAGCATTCACTAATTGAAATGATTCTGCTACACTGGCAAACTTTCACTAACCTGCTGTCCATTGCTTCTTCAAACTGATTAATAAATACATAGTAAAAATCTCCTTTCTCTAATTTCTAGCAATTCCAAGCCTCCTCTTATCAGGATCTAATTACATCCCTCTGCTAAGTTACTTAACGTTTCTCTCTCTCTGTGCTCTTCTGTTGCTGGTTTACCTCCACAGAGTCCCTTTGTATCAGCCAACCACAATTTTGAGTAGTTTGGCAATTCACTACTCATTACGACTTCACTTCTTCCCATTTAACCGGCTTTTTCCATCCATGTGAGTACTTTGCCTTTCTCCTATCATAAATTCTTTTGAGTGAGTTTATCACACTCCATTATTACCTCCCCCCTCAATTTTTGTTTTGATAAATAATCAAACTGATGGGAATTTGTGGCATTTTTCTTGTGCTATTTCTCAAAAGCTAGGCTTATCAAATTCACTTTGGTGAATTGGTGAATTCCCATTGATGCATTTTTGTTCTTTTTATGTGTTCCACAGGAAACACAGTATTTTTCTATCACTGTGTTAGTAAAGCCCATGTCAAATCCTTCGTATCAACTTAGGCCAATGTTTTGACACAGCAACAGCAAGATGTGTTGTTATGATTAAGGGAAAATCTGGAGAGCGCAACCATTTCAACCTCTCAACACAATTCAGAATGAAAAAAAAGGTATTAAAATCACAGAATTTCATGCAGAACAAAACATCAGATCCAAGACTTATAAACTACTCTCTCTCTTTTTGTGAAATGAGAAGATGTTTTGCACCTAACCCTTGACTCAGCCCCAAAGCACCAAAGCGCCTTACTTGTGATCCAGGGACTCCGATAGGTCCTGGTGGCCCTTTGGGTCCTGATGCCCCTGGTGGCCCTGTGGGAATGATGATATGAGACAGTTCTGAGGATACTTAGAAGGACAGACCCTAAATTCTAAGTGCACGCACTTCCTTTCATTGTTCTGCTTAGTCTCTCAATGGGTAGGAGCCATTCATTGATCACAGGACTACAGCATAAGCGCTTCATCACACACTGGATTATTGGATACCCACATCCTGATAGAATACATCCCTATGCCCTCAGGAAGGTGTTAGAGCTCCAGGAGGAAAGAAAGGTGAAAACAGGCAGGAGGGATGTCAGTAACACCCTGCATTTCCATTGCTTAAAATGACAACTTTTGAGAAAACTTAAACTAGATCCACAAAACAGCTACATCAGAGCAAGATATATAGCTGGCGTTTCTGAAACAGCCTCATAGGTCCCCAAACCGGCTATGGTCTGTCCCTCTATGGTTGTCAGAAAGTTGATGATGAACATGAAGGAGACGGGGTTTGGATATAGCCAGCACGAGAGGCTGACTGTAGCAAAGCAAAGCTCTCTCTTGCTCTTTGCTCACTCCAGTGGCAATTAAATTAATTGAAAGTCTGTAGCACAGAAAAGCCTGCTTCCAGGAGGAGTTAAACACTGTCTAAACAGGTCAACTTGTTTTATACAGTCACTTAACAGATTCATTCCTTTTGGAAAAATAATTATACCTGAACAGTGGCTGTTAAATTATACCTGCAAATGGGAGACAGGATATTTGCTTAGTCTGAACTTAGCAATACTCCTCTCTGCTTTAGTTGTCACAACCCTTGAGATGAAACAATGTGGACATTATACATAAAGTACAGCTGAATCAGCCTCAATCATTAATGCACCATACAAATGCTTAAGTCAAAGGATAAAGGAATTGAAGGATAAATGAAAGGCCCTTATAATGAAAGGAAAAGCCTTTTCTCCAACTAATGGGAGTTCACTCCTAAATATGCATCATACAGGGAAGTGCTGATGTTTGCAGGAATACTATCATTTAAGCCGCTCATCAGCACAGAGAAAAAGACTTGCCACTGAGTTTTCATCCCAGATTCTGATTTCAGTTATACTGGTGAAAATCTGGAATAGTTTAAGCCACCTCCAAAGTCTGCAGCATCTGCATACACATCACAGGGCTGCTGGCCAGATCCTGCTCAGTAGCACTCTACAGCAACAGGACAGGATCGCAGCAGCGGTGAGAACAACTCTGCTCTCACGAAGGAATTCACTGGACAACCCATTCTTGACAGTTCTTAATTATTCCCTTCTCAAGATGTGTCCTGCCAAAGGCAAAACAATCTGCCGCTATCAACAGATAAGAAATCTGGTTACTTCTTGCCACCCTTCTCACTCCTGGACCCACTCCTCTACTGCCCTTCCAATGAGGACCACTTGCTTTCCCTGCAGGCATCCCACAGACCACTCCAGTCTCCATCAGAAATTTCTTTTTGCTCATCTTCCCTGTCATTACTGGGTTTGCAGCTCTACTGAGTTTATTACCTGGTGGCCCAATGGGGCCTGGGGCTCCCCGTGGTCCTGGCAGCCCAGCCATGATGGTGTCTATGACGGTGGAGGCCAGCTGGGGTTCTCCATCTGCGTTAAAGGGCAGAGCAGTTAGTGTCCCTGCAGCAAGAGCTGCCCAGTCCCAGCAGGCAGGACTTCTCCCCAAAATTCCTTGGCGCCTGTTGCTGGCCAGGGGCAGGCAGCAGCACTTAGGGTGCAAAATCTGGGCTCTTGGAGCAATTGGCCTTTGCTCTCTAAGGGTACAGGCTGCATCCCCCAGACCTGCAGAATGTTTCATCCCACCTTCAATAACCCCACAGAAGTTGCCTTTTCTGTCAAAAAAATGGTATTTCTGCATACCTATGTAATCCTACCTTTGAATGCTCAAGCAGATTAAGAGTAGCTCTGCACTGTACAGCAATAACTGACCCAAAATTTGTCATCACCAGAAGGCTTTTGGCTTCCTGAGAAATCAAACATGGATCTGAAGCTCCCTCCTGTCTGGCACCAGTGAACAGCCAAGCCAATCTGTCAGTGTAGGTATCCTCACCGACCCAGCAAGCTCACTCTGCCCTCAGGGTGGTGGGGGAAATAACCTGAGGTGCAGGGAAGCCCAGGCAGAGCGTGTGCTCTGCCCCCTCCACATACTCAGGGAACTCACTTGCCATTTAAGATTATTTTAGGTGTTCAACTGGCCAGCTTGGGCAGGTCCACTAAGTTCTGGGAAATGGATGGATGTGGGAGTAGAGCAGGGAGGGGAAAGGCATCA